GGACCGGCCTTGGTGGAGGCTGCAGCACGGCTCCCCGGCCGGTCCGTGGGGGGAGCCTGGCTATGGGGCTCAGGTTGTCATGACCTCGCCGCCCCTTTGCTCGGCCTGCCACCACCTCGCTACACCCTTGCGCACCCAGGTGAAATGTGCTTTCCAGGTGTGGAGTCTTGTGAACAGAACTTTTACTTTGTGAGCAACTGGCGTTAAAGTTGTGAACAAGCAATACGGCTACTGCATAAATTGGTTTGCTCTGGAGCCATCCTTCCAGTGCTAAGGCAAAAATGTGTGAGTTGGAGGCAACTTCTGGATCACTTGGTAAAAACGGTCAAGAAATTCAGAGTGGAATCCATACACAGCAATATCCACTCAAGCAATGAGCTGACAACAGCGAGTGCTTTCTCCCGAAGGTCCTCCATCATGGCCAAAAGTATCAGGGAAGAGAGGTTCAAAATTGAAAATCCCCAGACCTTTTTTTAAAAATTCACGGCTCAAAGAACAAAGATTACCAATCAGAAAGCTGAAGATGCGCCACATGATGCCTGCTCATTCCCATTGTTGTGTAATAACGATGTAACGTGATTGAGCATGCATCTAAAAAAGGGGGGGTTGGAGGGAGGATGGGAGGATAGGAGGGGTTTGGAGGGTGATGGGTGGGAAGGGGGAGGAGATAGATTGCAGGAAACCACTCCAAGGCTGTAATGCGAAAATGAAACCCCCGGAGCAGACCCAGGCAGACTGGCTGGAAATGCTTTAAAGGTGAAATTGACAATAATGATCCAGGGCAGAAAACTCCGACGCAAACCCGAGGTAAGTGCCAAGTGAGAAATTGCCCTCAGTGTCTGCATATGTTTCCCACCCTCTGGTAGTGACTCCATTGTCATAGCCACTCCGCACTGGTTTAAATGAATGCTGTTCTTTGCTGCTCTAACCCCTCCTATCTGGTTTTGTTGCGCTGTCAACCTAATGCAGACATTTTTGAGTTGTTGCTCTGCTAATCTATATATCTAATAGCGAAGGCACCCCCTGCGTGCGGATACTTATTCCTGCAAATCTGGGGCACACAGGGGGCAAGGAGATCTTTCAGCACACTTGGAGCACGCTCCAGTTGTGCAGAAAAATCTTACATGTTTAAAAAAGTATACAGGGGATATTTAAATCCCCCCCAAAAGTTAAACGGCATTCTCTACTGACAGATCGCCAGTAGAACATTCAGTAGCCCAAGGGAAATGGCGTGGCTGCACACGCCCCGCAAAGAATGCTGGCGGCTACAACCACCCGGCAGCACAAACCGACACCTCAGATACCATCTCTGCGGGTGGACTCAACTCAGGCAGAGTCTTCCAAGGCTTATCGTGTTCCTGCGGAGGAAAAGGAGCCTCCCCCTCCTTCACAGTACTCAATACCACAGAAACCCGGCATCTCAGGAGTTGGGGGGGGGGAGCAGAAGCAGGGAAAGGAAGAAACATGGAAAACAGACATGAGGGAGGAGGGGGAGAGAATCTGGGTTGGAGGGAAGACAGGAGGGGCTGGCTTCCAATTTCAGAGTTCCCACAGGCTCTGAGACCCCATCTTCTGTCCAGCTGCACTCCAGGACTGCAGAGCACGAGCGTCCCCCAGTCCTGTGCCGGCTGCCTGCCTGCCCTTCCTGACAAGAAGTTGCCTGATAAAGTTGTCGTTTGCTCTCTCTCCCCCTCCCTCACTTGTTTCCCCACCTCACACACTCAGCGATCTTGCCTGCTCTGCCTGCTTTGCTTTGAAGCTGTTCAAATTGTGCCCTCCCACGCCTTGCAGGAGAAACAGGGAGGTGGAGAAGCCTGGGCAGTCACTATAGGAACTAGCCCTCTGATGGGGGGAGGGGGGTTGGTGTGAGCAGCCTTTTCTGACTGTGGTGGTGACTTCTGCTGCTACTGCAGCAACTTCATCCCCGGCTACAGCAACACTGCTGCTCTCCAGAATATCTGAAGCAGCAGGCGTGTGTCAGGAAGAGAAAATTTGTGTGTTTGTGGGTTTTTTATATTTACATTTGGGATATGGTTGCCAACCTCCAGGTGGCACCTGGAGATCTCCAAAAAACTAAGATGAGTTCTCCTGGAGAACATGTCTACTTTGGAGGTTGGACTCTGTGGCCTTATGTCCTGCTGAGGTCCCTCCCCTCTCCAAATCCCACCCCCCAAATCTCCAGGTGTTTCCCAACGTGGAGTTGGCAACCCTACCTTGGTGGCGGAGAGAAAGAGAAAGAAGGGGGTTTTGGGTTGGGGAGAGAAAGAAAGAGAAAGAAGAGGAGGGGGAAAGAAGCAAAGGTGGGAGAATACCACCACCCTGCATGTTTTTTGGGTGTCCCCACTTCTGCAAGCCCCCCTCCTTCCTTCCCCTCCCACTATCATCACACGTAACCTTTTAAATGCCAGGGTGTTACCAGCTGCAGTGGTCTCTGATTCACAGAGTCGCTTTGAACATTTTACTGGTGTGCCCAGTAATTCCCACCCCCTGCAATCTGCAGGAGATGCTCTGTGATGCCCCCTTAATGTCTTCCATAGGGATATAAAACAAGCCACAACACATTACGCAACATTTTGATGTGGGTCCCCTCTCGTTCTTAAATAATTCCAACTGGTGGTGCACAATAAACTAGGTAGTAACTCGTGATTTGATTCCAACAGTATTCTTTTCTCTTTTTACTAGCTAGCCCCCAAAATAATTTTTAAAATTTTTATCTTGTTTTGAAGCTACTATTTCTTGACCCTTTTACATACTGACTGAACATTTTTAAGTTCACTACTGGTGCAGTAAGAGCTTGCATCCATTTCAAAACGTTTAAATCCAGAAATGGTGTTTCTAATTTTATTTCCGCTTGGCTCTATTTCCTCATAGTTATGTACCAGCCCTCAAATCTTATCTTCCAAAACTTATCTATCTGCTTTCAAACCATTTATTTTCTTGACCCTCCCACTTTATGGGACATTTTTAAGTTCACAGGGGGGGGGGATTTACTTCGAGCTGTAGGAAGCACTCTCAGCAGTAAAACACAAGACCTTGTGTTTAGCTCAGTGGGTAAATTCCTGCCCTGTAAATCAGGGCATTGTTGGTTTGATTCCTGCATGGCTGCTTTTACTCATCGCTATATACCAGTCCTCAAAATTTTTTATTTGAAATGTGTTTATTAAATTTATAATCACTGAATATGACTGGGCAATGCACAGTCAGCAGCTTTTTCAAGTAAGAGGCCAAAGTATTTGAGCTTCAGTTTCATTATCTGGCCTCATTTGGCTCTCGTAGTCATGGCGTTTCTTATTTTTAAGTTCACAGGGGTAAGAAGGACAGACCCTAGGAGTAATAGAAGTGTTCTGGGACTGGAATGACTGGCCCCAGAGTGGAATGACAGCCCTTGGGGGTAGCAGCAGTGTTCTGGGACTGGAATAACAGGCCTCAGAGTGGAATGACAGCCCCTCAGGGTAGCAGTTGTGTTCTGGGAGTGGAATGACAGGTCCAGTGGTGGAATGACATCCCCTTGGAGTAAGAGGAGTGTCCTGGAGCTGGAATGCCAGGCCTATCATTACAGTCCCAGGGCACATCTCCTACCCCTTGGACTATCATTCTACTCTGGAGCCAGTATTCCAGTCCCAGAATACTCCTGCTAACCCCAGGGACAACCATTCCACTGTGGGGCCTCTCATTCCAGTCCCAGAACACTCCAGTAACCCCCAGGGGCCATCTAGTGATGAACAATAGATTGTGAAAAAAGACAAAGTGGACAGCTCCCCTAATGCTAACTTGAAAGCAGAGGTGCAGCAGTTCTAAACCACATGGGATAACAGTGGCACCAAGCTGATTCTAAAATGCATATGTAGATTTGGCCTGTAATGCTGGAGGGGGAAGGGGGAAGCATGTCAAGTAGACCCCTTAGGGTCCCCCACCCCACCCCTTCTTCCCCTTCCATCAGTGGAGCTCTACTTATGTAAGAGGCAGGAGAGAATGATTTTGTGACTTTCCACCTCCCCCCTACAGTCTCCTGACCTAACTTTGGTTTGCTTAGCCTGTACATCTACTGAAACTGGCAGCACCTCTACATCTCTACAAGGTTGCAGGCGGAGGATTTCCCCTGTATTGCTACCTGAAATCTGTTTGCTGGTGAGCTTGGAGATTGAGTCTGGGGCCTTAAACAATTCTGTGTTCTGACCATAAACTATGGATTATCACAAACACACACCACAGAGTCAGATAATGTGGTTTTATCATGCAGGATATGGAAGTCCACTGAATGATTTAGGTGCTTTAAAATTTAAGAGGTTGTAGCTCAAATATTCAGCTTACTCTAAACCAACAGAAGACAGCCCAAGTAACTTCAAAAAGGCAAAAGGCAGACCTTGAGTTTGATATGGCCAAGGCTGGTGGCGATTATGTTGGCATAACTTTAGCTTCTTATATTGAAAATCAAGCTTCTTATATTGAAAATCAAGATGTATGTTTCCTTTAAAGAGAGATGAAGGAAATAGTTACTGCCATATTAAATCAAAAGAAATACATGAATAAAAAACAATCACTAACTTTAAAGCATCTTTAATAGGTGTTCTTAATTTTATTAGGACCTGAATTGCTCAATGATAGGGACCATGTGTGTCAGTATTTTAGCATCATGATTTTTTAATTTAATTTTTTCTTTCTTTTTTACTTTTTACTGCTCTCTTCCTTGATTATACATGCTATGACACATGTACATATGAAACTGTAAGTGAAGTTTGAAGCAAAATGCTAAGTCTGCACTCTCTTCTCTATATGACCTGGCTCAATGACAGAGCATCTGCTTTGCACAGAGAAGTTCTCAGGATCCGTCCATTTAAAGAATCTCATAGCAGGTGTTGGGGAAGATATTTGTTGCCTGAGATCCTAGAGAGCTGCCGCCGTCTTCGGTTAGATGGACCAATGGTCTGATTCAGCCTCGTATATGATTTTTGTTCCCTTTCTGCAGCATCAGGAATAATACATTCTCACGACATTGTGTTCACCTGCTGGCCAATTCCTTTAACCTGTGTGAGCGAATCTGTGAAGTTGAAGTCAGGTGAGACACTGAGGTGATTTCAGAGATATGATGTTGTTATTATTACTCTCGTATATGTTTGTTTGTATGTCTGTTTGATTAAAATAATAAAAATTATTATTAAAAAAAAGATGCTGAAGGCCAGTCTAGAACTAGACTATAGCCCCGGTCACACGGGCAGGAAACTGCGGGGGAGAAGCGTGGCTGTTTGCCCTGGGGCAAACTACTGTGCAGTTACTTGATCAGACCTCCCGTGGAGGTCCTGTGGAGGTACCGTGGAGGTTCCATGGCAAGGGAGAGGTGCTGATCACAGGACAAGCCGGCGCGCAACGAAGAAGCACGCACCGCGGCAAAATGTTTTGTTTTTGTGTGTACACGACTAATGCGCATGCTCCGTTGGGTGCGTGCGCGCATCCACAGAGACTTGGACAAAAAAACACAACACCTTATTTGCAAGGGGACATGGGCGGGCGCCGGTATTTATTTATTTATTTAGATATTTATACCCCATTTGTCTGACCAACAGCAGAAACCAAAGCAGTTTACAACCTCATTCTCCCACCCTCCATTCTATCCTTTCAGTAATGCTCTGTGAGGTATCTTAGGCTGAGAGAGAATGACTGGTCCGAGGTCACCCACTCAGCTTCCGTGGCACAATGGAGTTTCCACCTTAGTCTCCCAGATTCTAGTCAGACAATCTAGTCCAAAAGAAATCACAACGTACCTCCTTGCTTACCGTCTTTCCATGTTCTAGAAGTTTCACCCTTGAAGTAATACAGTTGAGATCTTCTTTTGCATGTTTATAGATCAACTGAAAATGCGTTCTTGCATTTTGTGGATGGGCAAGAAAGTCGAGAAACACACTGCAGGTATGTGCGATCAAGTAGCCCTTGTTTTTTTAGTTTGTTAGTTGCTGTCGATTTTCCCGGTTTTGTTTTGTTATCTTGTTCCTTCAAAGAAACAAAGTTTAAGGAAGCAGGATGAGTGGTAACAGACTGGCCTGAAGAACTGCATAGAGAATGAAATCTATTTCACCCCAAGCAGAGATGTAAAATTTCTGGAAATTTTGAAGCCATGGGGGGGGGGAGCCATGGACATTGGGGAAAATTGAAATATATTGGGGGGGAAACTGAAATATATGTAATACTTAGTCCTATCAAGCAAAAACTAATTTTACTGCTTTAACAACATAAAATACATCATTTATAACTTACTCAGAACATAAAATAGCAGTATTTGACATATGTATGGAATTTAAAAGTTATACCTTAGTTTTGCACAAGCAAAGGAGTTTATTATGTCCCCTGGCCCCCCATCGTTCCTGTTCATGAACCCACATAGCTGTTCCTTCACATGGATCCTGTGACCCCAAGAATGGTCTTTCCAGGGCTTGAGAAGGGGCTGCGGGAACAGAGAGGAAGGTGGGAAAACTCCCATGTGTCTTCTATACATGGATATAGACCGCTATTGTTATGAATGTAAAATAGCAAAATCCCATATAACAGTAGTGGCGAACCTATGGCACGGTGGCACTCAGAGCCCGCTCTGTGGGCACGCGTGCTATCGCCCCAGCCAGGCCCAGACTAAGACCATCATTAAAGTGTCAAATTCTCTGCCAAATAATTTTAAATAAATGAAAGCATTTGGGATTGCTTTCCTTACTTTGTTTGGATCATCTTAAGTTAATGTATGAGTTGTTTTTTCTAAAGTAAAACCTCAGTATTCAGGTTAAATTGCCATGTTGGCACTTTGTGATAAATAAGTGGGTTTTGGGTCGCAGTTTGGGCACTCGGTCTCTAAAAGGTTCGCCATCACTGCCATATAAGTTGCCTTTGGGGAAGAATAGAAAGAAATATGAGCCACCGGAAGTCCTCAGACTTTTAAATAAAATTTTAAATAAAATTAAATGACTAATAAAACATCATTTTCCTTCTTTCTAAAGGCTTGCTCGTAGTTCTCTCTTTTCACATTAATCTGTCCACCAACAGGCTAATAGACTGTGGCATTGGCCAGGAGGATATTAAAGAACTGTGCATGGTCCTTGAGAAGAGTGGATGTCTTGCAGAACTGGAGTAAGTAGAAACTCTGTTGCTACATTCTGAAAAGCATAAACCAGGTCGAGCATTGTTTAAGTTTACAATGTCGCAGGATTGTTATTTGTTTGTTAAAAGTGATAGATTCTATTCTATGTTTACCATAAAATAAAACCATTCAAGTATAATTACATAAATTCACACTAAAAGAGAAAATTAGGGTAGCAGGTGTAATAGCCCAGTCTAGCCTGAACTTATCAGAGCATGGAAGCTAAGCAGGGTTGGTACTTGAATAGGAAACCCCCAAGGTAGATTGGGGCTACTGTACAGAGGAAGGCAGTGGCAAACTACTATTACTAATCTGTTGCCTTGAAAACCCCTTGAGGTTCCAGGTCACCATGAGTCAGTTGCAACCCGATGGCACACTTTAGAAGAGAAAATTAGCAACGTGTTTCCTGCAGGAGCCCCTGTGTAATACATTAATTTCACCACAGATGCCAACATATTACGTACCTTTAACAGAAATTCTACAAACAGCTGTTGTTCTCCAGTTAAAGGTTATATTTAATTTTACTGCTGCTAATAAACATAACATTCATTCCTCACCTGATTTTTGAGTAACTTCTGATAAGTGGGTTTTTTTATTATAAGGAATATCAAAGCCAACTGTTATCTTTAATTAGATCTAAAATAGCTTTTCACCAAAAGATATGATAAAACCTAGAAAATTAATGTTATACTGCAGCTGGTTCCCATTCATTTCGTTTTATTTCTTAAAGCAAACAGAAAGTCTTTGGAAAAAGAAATTTGCATGATTCGGCAGATCAGTTAACACAAAGCACCCACAGTAATTAAAAAAACAAACAAAGCACCCACAGTATCTTGTACTGTGACTGGTTTTGTAAGTTTGTTGCATTATATTTTTATCCGTGACCTTTTGCATAGAATAGTATGAATATCTCAGCAGATCCCTGGCTCAGCTTTGCCTTAATTCAGACCATAGACAAGCCTGCTTTTATCTCCAGAAACCATAAATGTATTCCTACTATCTACAACCAGTTGGATCATGCTGGGTTGAATGGTTTATCTATCAATCAGCTATCTCCTGTCTGTCTTCCATCTATCACCTGTCTGCTATCTTCCATCTTCTGTCCATCTTCCATCCTTCTTCCGTCTGCTTCGGAGATCTCCTTGAGGTGACTGACAGGTACAATAGAACAATTTTTAAAAACCCATAAAAACTGCAACATAAAAACATGGGATTAAAAACAGCACATGGCATATTTCAGGTAGTGGTGAGCAAATAACTTTGGTTTTGACTTGCATATGAAATACATGAAGTCAAATGTTTTGCTGTGTTCTGTATATATCCAGTCACACTTTGTATGTTATATTTCTTTGCAGCCTATCCAGGAACTGTCTTGGCAATGACGGGTTGCGGTGTCTCTTAGAACATTTGCCCAGGATTCACAGTTCCTGTCTCATGAAGTAAGGGGATGCAGCAGCACCAACAATAGGCCAACTCATGAGATTTGGGGTGTACATGTTTCATACCTACTCCTATGTCATATTTCTAGCTATGCTGTGACTGGTGTCCTTCACTGGCTCCCACCTCTACAACTATAGATAGGCAAAGATAGCTCTCAAACATTCCTTCAGTTTTGCCAGTACTTTCAATCAACAGAAAGCACTTTTTAATAACTTTTAAAACAACTTGGGGGAAAGTGCTAGACTTTCAGCCAAACTATGTCTCATTGAAGATCTATGCTTGGATCCTCTGTTTGTTTGTTTGTTTGTTTGTTTCCTTAAAAAGCAGCTGCGTGGGACCTGATTTGGATTAGGGGCCTGGCTGTGGGCAAGTGGGGCTGCACTCCTCCCCTGTCATG